TTTATTGAAAACCAAAAAAGCCAGCATTTCTGAAATTACCAAAGAAATTAAATCTTTTTTCATTCTAGTCCTAATCCCTTCTCCTTTGAATTACAAAAGACAAGAATATCTTTATCATAATATTCGTCTATTCATTAGAGATGAATTTAAAGACATTACTTGTCCAAGACCAACCTAGACTGATAATGAATAAAATATTTCAGTCAACAAATTTTATTACTTTATTAGTTTTTGTTCATTTCCTTATATTTAATCTTTTAATGATATTAATATTAAAATATAATATATTATATGATAAAAAAAAGAAATTAAAATCATGACATTTAATAAAAATGATATAAATATAATAAATGAAGTAAAGGAATACTCCAATTATTATGGAGGAGTCCTTAAACCAGAATAAAAGGTTATCTTTGATAGTAATCTTTAAAACTAAATGACACTTTGGATAAAACACTTCTTTAAGATACTACTCAGTTATTAAACAATTGAAGAGAAGCCAGAGAAAAAATAAAAAAGGAAAAAATGGGTTTAAGGTCAAAAAGTCATAAGTTATTGGCTTCCATCTTAAAAGAGTAAAAAGTTAAATCTATTCCTTATTAAGTTATTAATAATCTAAATGACAATAAACTAGTTGATAAGGTTATTAGTGAATTTGATCCTGAATTTGATCAGAAAATTAAAGATAAAACAATTGCCTTAGAAGAACTTTTAAAAAAAAGAAGAAGAAATAACTAAAAAAATCAAGAGATTAAGAAAAAAATATAGTACTGAAATTGTTAAAAAATAGACTGATTTAAGAAATAAAATTGTTAATGTTTTGGTTCCTAAGTTGAAAGATAATCTTCAAGATACTGGAAGTGGTAATTGAAAAATTTTGAATAATATGATTAAGAGTAATAAAAAATATGCAAATCGAATTTACAGATCTGATATATCAGAAACAACTAAGCATTATAGATCAGTTATCAAAACTGATTATAATGGAAATGGTAAACCTTATACTCATCCTATTTATTTGACTAATGATTTACCTAATCAAATTTGAGTCATTCTCAAAGATCTTGACAAAGATAAACTTTTTGAATATATTTCTTCTTCAGCTTGTACTTGAAATAATTCAGACAAAACTAAGTTTAAAAAAATGTTTGGTCAAGTTGTAGATTGGAAAAAAAGTGAATTTATAAGTGGTGGTAGTAGTAATTCAATGGGTTATTTTGGTGATTCAGGAAAAAGTTTTGAGTTTGTTGAAACTCGTTTACTCATAAAATTGACAAGACAATTGAATGAAATAAGGAGAGTGTTAAAAAAAAGATTAGATATTTTAGTGATATACTTTATATAATGCACGCTCTCTTCCTCAAAGATAGCAATTATCAAGATAATCCTTTCTTAAAAGTTGGTGAAAAAAGTTGTTTGCAATTTAAGAATAACAAAAGTATAGATACTTCTTATACTCTTTATTGAAGAGGAACAGATGCAAGCATTATTGGAAAGAATTATTTTATTGAGAGTGGAAGTGCAAGTATTCTTAAAGTTCCTTTTGACTTTGAAAAAAAACACTTAACTTGAGCAGATAGTCAAATTCCTGAATTCTTTTAACAAGTTTATAATAATGATGAAGCCATTGATTTTAGTGAATATAGTACAGTATTAAGCAGTAATGCAGTTAGTCTAAAAAAAATTCATGAAAAGGAAATAACTGTTTATGAGAAAAAATTAAGTAGTGAAACATCATCAATGTTTCATCGATTTATACTTAGAAGTAATTATAGGGATTATATTAAGAATTTAATCAAAAATGGCATAGATGCTGATGGAAAAAAATGATTAACAGATAATGAATATAAATTAGTTAAAAAAGAGTTTGACAGAGTTGCTAATAAAGTAGCATTAACTACTATGAAATCTCTTGCAAGTTTCAGAAATAGTGCAAGAGCATTGGAGATTGATGAGTTAAAAAAAAAGAATAATTGGTTTTAATTCAAATAAGATAAGATGACTTGCTACTAAATATAAAAAAATAACAAAATTACTAATTCAATAATAAATTTATGAAATGAATGAGCAACAGATGCTAATGTTGTATTGGAGAATTTAAAAGGAGAAGATGCTAAGTTAGGTAAGAAAGTTGATGAATTAAGAGAAATTAGTTCTAAACAAAGCAAAGTTAACAGTGAAAAAGAAACAGCCAAAGATGCTAAAAAATTACAGATAAGTGGTTTAATTACTCAATTTAAAACTTTTTGAGATAAGCCTGATAAGAGAAGTTATCGAGAGTTATATGCGTAACATTTTGGGATGGATTAAAAAGTGAGAAAGTTTAAAAACTAATGCTACTTTTGATCTCGCTGCCAAATTAGCCAAATTAGATGCTGCTAAAACTGATAATCAAAGTAAATTAGCTAAATATAATCATTGAGTAGAACATGGTACTCACTTTACGGAAAGATTAGAGAACTGAAAAAAAGATGATGGTAAATACTTTAATGAGAAAGTTATAAAAAATTATTTGCAAAATATAAAAGATTCTTTGGAATCAGTGGAACAGAAACTAGATTCTGTGAAACAAAATGAGTTAGATCAAATTAATCACTATATTGAAAATGGTGAAGTTTCCATAGAAGAGAGAATTCTGCCCATAGAACTAAAAGGAGCTTTAGAAGTTAAAACTAATGTGTTTAGTGATCTAACTAAAAAATGAATCAATTATTCCCAAAATATTAATTTTAAAACCAATGCTAATGAAATTAAAGAACTAGCAGGCAGAGTTAATAAACTAGGAGCTAAAATTAAAACTTCTGAGTTAATTAAATACTGCAAAGAAGTCTTGGCTAAAAAACCTGAACTAATAGAAGATGATACTTATGATCTTCTCAATCTAAGAGATAAAGATCATGATTGATTAGATTGATTCTTTACCTGAGATCCTGAAATAGTGGTAGAAACAATTGCTTTACAAGAAATCAAAGCAGATAGTAATCTCAAAAAACAAATCCTAAAAAAGATGGAAGATTATAAAGAAGATCAAAAAGGATTAGTTAGGTTAGATCTCTCAGTTTATGAAGATGATAAAGAATTTACTGAAAAAGGAATCATTAAGTACTATGCTGAAAAGTTAGGAGGACAAAATTATATCAAGAAGTACTATGAAAAGCCCTTTGAAGATAATCAACAAGAAGGTTTCTGAAGAATTAATAATTCTTCTGCTTGAGCAGCTAAAGGAGGAATTCTTTTATTACTAAGTAGTCTTGGTTGAGTCATCTAAAAAAGAAAACTCCTGGCTCAATGATGAAACTCTCCTACTGAACTAGAAAAAGAGAATGATAAAGAGGATGATGATTAATAATGATTTGATTGTTTATTTTGCTAGTCTTCTTTTCTTTCTTGGTTTATTATAAGTTGAGGTTAAAGTTTATTTATTGTTTATTGTTTTTCGTTCCTCTTGATAAATTTCATAAGTAATTTTTTCTTGATCTAGATACTCCTGAAGAGTTTAGGTATCATTAATTTTAAAAATGTAAGGCGCAATTTTCTCTCCTTGAGCTTTCTTTAAAATGTTTCTAATGATGCTGTAATTCTTTGGTTCCATAGTGGATTTAATGTAAATTAGTTTCATATTAATATTTTATATAGGGATATTCCTATATTAATCCTATTATAATTTATATTCATTCCATTCTGGTATGATAAAGAGAACATTAAAATTAACAAGTCTATAAGTTATGAATGAGCACTATTATTACTTTTCAAAATGTTATCAGTTATCCTGATCAGTTTTACAGTCACATCATCATCAGCCTCTCAATTATTATATCACATAATAAAATATTCATTTTGTCTAGTTTTGTTACAGTCTGCCTCATATTAGAATATATATATAATTTTAATATTAGTAATATATATAAATTTAAATATTTTATAAAGTATTTAAATAATATAAAAATTTTAAATTTTAAAAAAAAATATATATATATTTTTATTAAACCTTTGATTTTAAATTAATAAAAAAGATATTAATGAATATAAAACATTAGACATTTGAAAGTAATTAATAATAAAAAAATTATAGTATATGAATGCTTTAAAAAAAAATGAAATATTTTATTACAAACTTATAAAAAATAATAATTTATTATAGTATGATAATAAATTATAAAAATAAATCTTGTAAAGTTATTTATTATTAGAATTCTCTAATAATAAGCAAAAATTATAGATAATTCTTTTTATTAATATGCAAAAAATTAATATTTATAATAGAGATAATTATAATATTAATCCTTAATAATTTAGTTTTATAAATATTTTAAATTCTTAATTAATTTTTTAGAATTGCTTTTTTATATAATTGTAAAATTATTATATAATATAAATTATTTAATATTTAAAATACAAATCTTCACTAGATTACTTAAAATTATTATTAAAAATCATTTTTAATTATAAATATAATTAATTTTTATTATTATTATATCTTAATATAAGATTTTATCCTATAGTTAAACTATTAAGATTTTATAAAATGAGACTTTAAAAATAAATTATTATATTTATATTTTTAATATTATTTAAAAATCAATCTATAATAATATATTAATTAGATTATATTATAATATATTAATATGATCTATTATTAATATAATTTTCATAAAAATTACTGTAATTTTATAATTACTAATTAATTATTTATTTAATCTTGTAATATGTAATATGAGATAATATTTATTATACTAATAATTTTTACCTGATCTGTATAATTTACTGATCCAATCACTTAGTAATATATTCAAAATTTAGTAATTGATTATAATTTGATTGATGAGAAGGTGTAATAAAAATAATTAGTATTTATATATAGATAAAATATTTAAATCTTAAAATCTATTTATATCTATAATAATATTTAAATTATAACTATAAGAGAATTTTAATTTAAAAGTAACTTTAATATCTAATTTATCTATAATAATAAATATAATATTTTATATTATTTAATTTTTTTTTTAATCAAATTTTAGATAATATTTAAAATACTTTAATATTTATCTATAACTTATAAAAAAGTAGATTATTTAATATAATAATATATAGTATATAAAATTTGTATATATAATATATATAATTGTACTTCTTTATAGTTATACAGTTAGGTATATAGTAATTTTTAAAGCAAATACATTTATAAAGATATATTACCTTTATGAAAAAGTATTTCAATTTAAACTTATCTAAAATTTCAAATGTATGACTATACATATAATGTACTTATATAAAGAGTAACTACATAGAGGTATAATTATATATGTATATATTAATTTTTAGTCTATATATATTATATAATAAATTATATATAAAAAAAATAATATTATATAAATAACTAATATAATTGATTTATTTTATTAATAAATTTATCAACTTATATACATAATTTTTAATTTAGATTTTATATACAATAGTATAATACTTATTTAACTAGTAATAAACTAATTTATATTAAGTTTAAAAGTATTAAAAAGACTTATTAATAATATTAGAAAATAAGAACAGTTATACATCTAAAGTGTTTAAAATAAAAAATAATTTAATATAATATTAATATTTTATATATATTAATTTGTAAAATAATATTAATTATTATTATTATCTAATCATACAATATTAATTATTACATCTGATTTTGAAATTTGATTAAATATTTTTATATAATAACAAACAAATATTGTATAGTCTTAAGTGTATTTTATAATCCTTCGCTATATTTTGAATAATTAATAATAATATACAAAAATAAATTTTAAAATAATATTAACAATTAAAAAAAAAATAATAAATAAATATTATATATTTTTAATTTTTAATATTTACAAAAGTGTTTAAATTTATTTATATTTATATTAATAATAAATTAATATAATTTATAAATATATTTAAAATTTAAAATAAACTTTAATTTCTTATATTAAAATTATATAAAATTAGTTTTATTTAATTTTATTATAACAAGAAAATTATATAATATAATTATTAAAAAAAGAAAATTTAAGTATTTTACTTTTAGAATTATTAAAGATTTAAATTATATAATTATATAATATAAATTTTAATAATATATACTATTTTTATATAATTTTAAAATTTAAGTAAAATAAATAAAATAAGTAAAAAAATAGTTTTTGAATAGTAATTTTATAGTTATAAACAAATTTACATATTTACAATTATATTTTAATAAAGTATTTATACTAAAATTAATGTAATTTTTAATACTAAAATATTTATTTTGATAATTACATTATATAAAATATCAGATTTATATTTTGAAGAATCTAAATTTAAATAATAAAAGAATTTTATGAGTATATTATTTCTTAAGCTTTTATTTCTTTATACTTTTAACAGAATTTTAACAGTTGACATAAAATTAAATTGTATCAATTAATTTTAAGTAATAAACTTATTTTTTGTTAATTATCATTAATAAACTTTTTCTAATATAATATTTTAAATATATTATAAAACTAGTAATTCTAATTAAAAAATATTTTGCAATTAATATTGTAATAGAAAAAAAGTAAGATTTTAACATATTTTTAATAAATTTAAAATAAATAATAATATTTTAATAAAAAATTAATACTAATCTTAATTTTAATATTAACTTATAATAATTTTTTTATAATAACCTAACTTAAGCCTTAATTTTTAATTTTAATTTTAATTTAAATACTAATTTATTATTAATGTTTTATAAAAACTTAACTTAACCATAAATTAATTTAAATTCTTATTTTTAATTTAGTTAAATTTTATAATATTTGATTAATTTTTAAGATTTTTATTTTTAATTAATTAACTTTTAAATTTAATTTATATTAATTATTTTTTATAATTTATCTTTTATTTTTAAATTTAATATATGAATTTGAATTTATATTGAATTAATATGATTAGGTTAGAATTAAGTTATTTTAAAGTGATAGTTTAATTAGCTTAAATATTTAGAATAGTTTTAAATTAAATTTAGATTAGAATTAAGTTGTATTAGATTAAGTTTATTAGTATTAGAATATGTTAGATACAGTAAGTTTAAGTTAGGTTTGAATTAAATTAAGATATTGTTAAGTTATAGTTAATACATATTTAAAATAGTTTTAGATTAAGATTAGGTTATATTAAAAATATATTATGGTTAAATTAAAGTTTGATATTCAGATTATATTTTAATTATATTAAATATATAGTTTATAATAGTTTTAAATAAAGTTCAAATTATAATTAAATTATGTTAGAAATATATTTAAATATGCTTGAGTTAGATTAAAGTTAGATTCAAATTATATTTAATTCAGAGACCTGTAAAAATTCTTTCAATTTAAATAAAAATTTTGTTTAAAAATTTTAATTTATTTCAATTTATATAATTTTAGCCAAAATTAACTCATAATATTATAATTTAGCCAAAATTAAAAAGAATTTATTAAATGTTTAAACTAATACATAATATTTTATTATTTGTGATTGAAATATAAAAATATTAAGCATCTGAAAAAATCTTGACTCAGATTTTTCTAACTTCATTCAAAATATTATTATAAACAGAAAAATTACATTTTATACTACAGGAAGAAAGTGGTAATCAAATATAATCTAAAGCAATCTGATGTAAAAAAAGAAGAACTTTTTGCTAAAATTTCTCTAAATTTAAATATTTTATCAAAGATAAGTCAAAATTATAATATATTACCTATTTCTAAAGAAAATTATACAGTATAAAAGATAATTATTGAGGTATGATAAGAAAAAATATCTCAATTTAAACTAAGATTTATAAACCTTAGATCAAATATTTGAGTTACTCTAAAAAGTTCATGACATAAATGATTTAAAATATTTTTTGAATGTAACATTATAAGTAGATTGAAATATTATTTAAAATAATTCAGGTAAAAATTAAGGTTTAAAATAAAAGTAGTTAAAGATTTATTAAAATTTTCTAATAAAATTCTATCATTAATATAACTATTTAAAATTTCTAATCGTCTTTTAATAAAAGAAAATAAAGAAAGATTTTCTTGCTAAAAAAAATCCAAGTCATCTATAAATTTTTGTGAATAAATTTTAATAAAATAAAGATAATTTAAATACAACTATTATTAAATATATTATTGAAATTTTTAACCAAATTTT